TTCACTCATTTTACTGAAATTCTACACAGATTTTGTTCTGAATTAAAACGGGTGCCTTCATAAGTGAGTACCTGTATAAACTTAATTAAATAGATTTTTGTTGTCGAGACCTTGAGTTCTCTTCACAATTCACTTCACATTTCTCTAAACAAAGTAACTGAAACAAAAAAGCGTTTACATGAAAACATTAGCCTGTCATGTGAACCTTAATGTTTGACTGTCTGCATGTGTATTCTTATCCCTATGTGAGCATGTTTGCACTGTAGCCGTGTTTTTTTTTCCCCCCTTTCTTTTTGTATGGTTTTTATACTTGTTCGTCCCGTTCACTCAGTCCTCTATCTCCACTGAACACCTTGAGGTCATATCAGCGCTGCGCTGGACAGGCTGGCTGGTTCCTATTTAGATTATGGATGGTTATTACTGCCTCCTGGCTGTCAGTCAGATTAAACCAATATGTCCCAGGATGGAGGCTTATCGTGCTACAGAGAGGACCTTCTCCTGGGATGGAGGAGGGGCCATTTAAATAAGTCATCTCCAAAACCTACCATGTTTTACAAATTTATTAGTGCGGTCTCAAGATGCATCGAGTGTTTATTGTGCTAAATGGAGCCGTGTGTTAGGCTCTGTTCTTGTCTGTCAGCCTGTCTCTCTGTGAACTGCATGGTGACAGATTAAAGCAAACACCAGGAAGTGTTCTAGTAAGTTTTGGGCACCACGTGCTGCCAGAGAATCATCAGTGTGCCTTGGCATTGATTCTTCAGAATCTCTGGAACTCTACTGGTGGGATGAACATCATTCATCCAAAAGATATTCCCTCGTTTGGTGTTTTGATTATGATGGGGGAGGTGAGCGTTCGCCAACACGTCAGCCCAAAATTTCCCAAAGGTGTTCAGTTAGCTTGAGATCTGTTGACTGTGAAGTGAGGATGTCGATGATTAATCGTTAATTAAATATTTTTAACAGATCAAAAATGTGTTAACCAATGGGGCAGAACATGAGGGACATGTAAGGAAATGTGTTGTAGATTAGTGGTACTACCTGGTTACATCTCCTACTGTTCAACACTGTAGTGACTACAAGAGGTGGTTATTCAGACTCCTGACGGTTTTGTGCTGGCAAGCAAAGAGTATTGTTGGAATTTAAGCTACAAAATGCCACCATGAGAAAGTGTCCTGTGATGCTTAATGCCAGAGTTTTGTCTTGTCGGCAAGTTGAAGTGCACGATGCCAGCGTCACTAAGGCCCTGTGGCTGATTGTCATTAGAGCAGCTCGTGTTACGACATACGCTGCATATGTCAAGAGGTGTGTTTATTTGGTCTGGTTGAATAATTGGCTATTGACTGACAAGGTTGCCAATAATCGATTAAGAAAACTCCTTAAAACGTGCATCCCTGCTGAAAAGGAAACAGCGTGTGGTTCACAGCATTTCCAAACTGCTCAAACCACTCAGTGACCCCTGGTGCCCTGTGGATGGGGGCATTGCCATGCTGCAAGAGAGCACTCCCATCAGAATAGAAATGTTTCATCACAAGATGAAGGTGAACACAGAGAACAACTCTGTATTGATTCGCAGTAACCTTTTTCTCTGAGGTGACGAGCGGATCCAAACCACCCAGCAAAATGTTCCCTACGGCGTAACAGAGCCTCAGATTCCCTCATGGCTGGGGTCAGTTGTATAGGTTTTTATTGTAGTTGGTCACCCTTCTGCATGTTCATAACATTAAAAACCATAACCAAGAGAGTTACACTGAAAAAAACTACTGCAAGAAAGCAAAATATGCACACATATTTATGAACTTCCCTCTACAACATTGGTAGCTTGTTAGTTAGCGGAGTAGTTTTGGTTTTCACCCTTTTTTTTTCTTTTTTTGGGGGGGAAGACATTAAGCTGAACTGACTGCAGTGTTGGTGTTTATATCACTGGATTTTTTTAAAAAGATGAAGCAGTGACACAGGGGTGGTAAATCATGATTGTTTCTAGAATCTTTATAGATCTCTTTATAGCTCCACCGCTGAAGGAAATACACTGGTTTGGCTTTGATGACAGCTTTTATGGTGAAACTCAGAAGATTGTTAGATTTGTAGGATTTTATGAACACAAAGAGTCGAATGCTCAAAGAACATTTTTGTTCACTCATGTTTTAGGATGTGACTAATACAAAGTTGTTGTTTGCACCAGCATTGTTTTCCTCCTGTCTTTGCAAGCATGTTATTTCTATTTAATTTTTTTCCTTTTGTGGCTTTGTGACACAATATTAGAGGAGCTTTCTTTGGAATATGTGTTGCAGCGGCTTTAACTGCTGGTTGAGACCGACAAGTAATTGTTTAAAACCAGTCTGTTAAGTCGTTTCTTGAATGATTGAGTGAGTGAATAACATTTTCATGCAGGGCTTTGTGTTATAATAATTGGTTTTCCAAATAGAATAATAAAAGTTTGTTGTTACATGAAAAGAAAAAAAGCACCTCTGTATGCACACTTTTAATAAACTCAACTTTTACTGCACATGTGACTGTTCCAAAAACTATACAAGCCTGCTTTATGGTTATGCTCTTGCTACAAGGAGCCATTTGAAGCTACATGATAAAGGTTAAGAAAACCTGAAACTCGCTGTTGACTATTGACATTAGATGGGGTATAAACCATGCTCCCCTGTGTCCAAATCACACGCGTTGTGAACACAACCCTCCATACCCACTACGTGTGGCTCCAACAACATTGTCATATTATCTTTGCCTCTGCTGTGGACAGTCATATTCACACTGCTGGATGTGCTTTTTCTGAACCCATGGATGCCATTCACTTGTTTGACCAAACAGCTGTTGTTGCCATCACCCCCTGACTTGCCTACTGCACATCAAATGTGTATCTGTTAGATTAAGCCAGCTTTGTCTGCAACTATAGAGTAGGTGTTTGGTGACATGGTCCAGTAGTTTTCTGTTTTAGTAGAGCCAGAGATGTAGCTCATCTTCCAATCTGTTTATTTAAAGCGGGAATGCATGTTTGTAATGTCAGACGATAGATTCCTGCTGATGTTCATGTCTGTGGGAAATAAAGGATGATGCAGCTCGCATTGGGTGTTTTGACTCCTCTGTAGAAAATAAAGACATACATTCTGCTCAGTATTTTTCTTCACTCTTATGATTCACCACTTCAACACTTGGATAAACAAAAGACCCTTCCCTTAATGTATCTCTGTCTTCTCAGCATGTCTATTTATGTGTGGGTGTGAATAGTTGTCTGCACTCTGAGGCATATGTTTTTTGTTGTTCTTTTTTTTTTTTTTTTTTCCCTTTGCGAGTTCGCAATCGTGTGTGCGCGTACAATGTATGTGTCAGAGGGCTTGCAAGTGTTCGTCTTGACCCTTATGGTAAGAGAGGAAAGGAAATGGAAGAAAGAAAACCCGCACTAAGTGAAGCGTGGAATGTGCTTGGTTTGGGGATTACATTGGCCCATGTGCATGGGAAAACACAAAGGGGAGCTTCTGCTGCCAGACAGATGAGAGGTTGAGAAAGTGCTTGGTTTTGGCTCTGTGTTACTTCAGTTTGAAGCTTTCTCTCACATTTAAAGCAGTGTCAGAGGCTGCGGTTCGCTCTGTAATTCTGTCTGTTTATCACAATTGTGTCGAAGTGAATTATTTCTTTTCCCTTCAGTTCGCAGATACTGCTGTCTGGATTGAAATCACATGTCCCAGGCGTGTCCGAAGTTTCTCAAAACAATAAGTTCACGCTTAGTGTATCTGCTAAATCTCTTGACGTTTAGCAGATACATTGAGTACAGATGCTCTCCCCAGAAATAAGGCTCCTATTAAATTAGATAGGCAATATACAGTAAAAATACTTTAAAACCCTCTGAGAGCACTCTGTGAAGTGATTTGATTTTCACATCCAAAAACACCACAGGGAGCACAAGCTGACAAAGCACTGATGTGTGGTTTGTAAAGAGGAGAAAATATCTACGCTGTGCATGTTTCCCTGTGTTATGATTAGAAATGAGACTTGATTAGTTTTCCAAGATGGATTTGGATGCATTTGCAGCTGCACCAAACGCAGGCATTCCATAACTGTCTGCCTGTCTGCCTCATGATCTATGTGGCCTTACAATCTCCATATGCTAATACCTTATTAGTATTCAGTGTTGTAGATGAAAACCTGTGCATGACATTGAATCATACTTTAATTAAGCAAGCATTGGTAAGCAGTATCATTAGCTTTTGAGAAATAAACATGCATATTTGATGTGGCCTGGAAAGCAGCAAATCCCAATGCATTCAATCTTTGTTTGTCCATCCATCCATCCATCCATCCATCCATCCATCCATCCATCCATCCATCCATCCATCCATCAAGGGCAACACATTTCTGATCAGTCCATCCACAACAATAATAGCAATCTCATTTGTCATCCCTGATGCCCTTGGCCTGCCGTCTCCAGCGCCGTGTCCAGCTTTCAGCCACATTTTTTGGAGCAAATTCAGGAGTAATGATGGAGATAGAGAGTTGCGGTAATGATGGTAGACAGATGAAATCTCAGCCAGGGAGCTGGACTGGGAGCTAGCGGTGCAGCAAGCAAGTATGTATGTATGTATGCCACAGGGGCTAATACAGTGGTCCAGAATGATGAACACATATTAGTCAAAGGCAGCTGACAGGATATAACGTATTAAACAGGACGGAGGGGGGTGATGGGCTCAGACACAGTGCCAGGCTACGCGTCATGGCAGCAGCGTGGAGTATTTCTGTTGGCAGGATGTTGTACCCTACAGGTAGCAGGTGTCTCTGGCTTTACATACCGTACGCTCCGCTGAATTACATGTCAAATGTTACTGCACATATGGAAGCGCACGGTGCGGTTAATAATGTGGTTGAATCAGCAGTGCTACATCCAGCTGCAGCGCTGAATACTGTGACATAGTTGTAATAAAGCTAATATTTTTTTCTCTCTCTCTCTCCCTCTCTCGCTTCCCCCTCCTCCCTCGTCTTCCTCCTTTGTGTCTCAACAGCAGCAGATGGTGAGGAACCAACTTCAGCAGGTGGGAAATTTTTATGCTTGGTAACGTGATTTCCCTTCATTTGTGTTTGTGTGTGTGTGTGTGTGAAGAGACAGAGATGGAGAAAGTGAGGGGGAGAGCTGGTTCAGTTTCTAAATCTTGGCCAAGCCCCCCTCCTTCTGTCATTACTATCAGTACTGGGCAAGCTCCTTGGAAAGCGTGGTGAGCTAAGATACCAGTTCCTCTGCATTTGATTAAGCTTCGCTACACTGGGACTACCCCTAGAGAGATAAAGTAAGCGAAGTTACACCAACGTGGCAAAAGCAGTTTACAGTATCAGAGTCTACTTATTTATTTATTTATTTATTTATTTGTTTTAAATTGAACCAACTTCATGACATGTCAGTGCTGTCTCAGTGGTCAACAAAGCTGTCAGTCAAACAGACAGGCTCAAAATGTTCAGTTCAGTTGTTTATGAAATATTTCTCCAAAACCAATTTGAAGAACAAAACAAGCAAACCATCCATTATCTATACATCGCTTAATCCTCATCACTGACTCAGGGTGAAGGCAGGGGACACCCTGGACAGGTCACCAGTCTATCACAGGACTACACTTAGAGACAGACAACCAAGCACACTTTTTAAATTTAGAATCACCAATTTATTAACCTTTTTGGACCTTGTGGGAGGAAGCCGGAGAACTCAGAGAGAACCCACACTGCACGAGAACATGCAGAAAGATCCTGGTGCCCCCACTGGGACGCAAACCAGCGACCTTCTTACTGTGAGGCAACAGTGTTACCAACTGCGCCATCTTGCAGCCAGCAAAAACTTTAACTTATATTCACCTTCCATATTTATTTTTGTGTCTTGATTTATGTTAAGAGGCTGCTATTATTTTAATTTCCCCTCTGGATTTGTACCGTACTCTATCTGTCTAAGTCTTTATTTGGCATTTCAATCATTATGATGTTTTTGACGAGCCATCATGTTTATGTTCTGTCTTCTGCTGGCCAACATTAAAACTTCAAATAGAATCAGTAGGGATGTACTAATTAAGTTTTTCTTTACTCCAGATCCGATCTGAGTCATTGCTGATACCTGATACTGTTCTCCTAGATCAGGGGTGTCCAATCCTGGTCCTCAAGGGCCACAGTCCTGCATGTTTTAGATGTTTCCCTCTTCCAACAAAACCTGATTCAAATGATCAGCTCATCCTCAAGCGCTGCAGAAGTCTGATAACGATCCTGATCATTTGAATGAGGTGTGTAGGAAGAGGGACACATCTAAAACATGCAGGATTGTGGCCCTCGAGGACCAGGATTGGACACCCCTGTCCTAGATAATACACTCTGGTATTGTAGATCAGTGGCAGTACCTTGTTGCGCCACCAGGTGCTTCTGTGTTGATAACAAAAAGCATTCTGGAAGTTTAGCTCGTAAAGGAGCACCGTGAGGCTTCCTGATATCAGACCAGCTTAAAACATGTAGCTAGCAAGTAGTAAGCTGGGCACAAGTTGCTATCTTTTTAGACATCACACAATAGTGACGATGAGCTTGGTGGGAACACAGAATATTTCCATGTTCCTTCTTCCACCTTTACATTAACTCGACAGATATATTCTCTTACTCCCCTGTTGTGGGCATAAGCTGGAGGATGGGTATATAATGTCGCCATCATATGGAAGGGCTCTTGTGAGTTACATCCATGCATGGTGGTGGCATCATATGCTGAGCCTTCATTTGGTTTTAGACCGCAGCAGAAGGCTCTGCTTCTGCTTCTGTTCTGTTTGGAAATGCTCAGGAGAATTTAGCTTTCGTGGAGGCTACTGCACTACTTGATCAATAAAAGACCTTTTGCTGCTAAAAATCTATTTGATCCAGAAAACGGTGACGTCACCACCACCCCACTGGTACTAAACATAGCACCGCTGCTTGTAGCCATGCTGCTGCCAACCCTGAATACTACTGAGTCTAATTCATCCTTTGATTCACTGATCATGCCGTGCCATCAGCGCTCATGATTGTATCATTTGGTAGTTCAGTTCATAAAGCAGCCCTATTTCAACTCCCTCTCGAAATGTGACTCAGAGAAAGATCTTGTCTTTTTCTGGTACAGAGTTTCGAGATTGTTTTTAGAGGCTCACAGTCCAATTTGGCCCAGTGATTGCTTTTGCTCGATTGTTTTTCACAACAAGTGAAATATTCTGAATACCTGAGTATTTAGCATCGTTTCAAGGGCTGGTTATGAAAATCACCCCCTGTGTGTCAGAGCTGACTTTTATAATCCATTAACTCAAGAGCAGCATCAATCTGAAGCAATTTCAATATCTTTATTTCAGAGTTAAATGCATTGCATCCATAAATACATATCATTAGCATCAATCTGGATGTGCAGTGTATCCGCTCCCTAAGGAGTGCACTGAGTGTATTTTGTGCAGCTCTTAGTGTTTGCATTTTAACAGGTAGTAAAGTACAGATCTGTGAAATATCATATAGACCTTCCCTTTTAAAATCATCCTCCTCAGAGAGCACATTTGGTATTCAGAAGTACTGCTTCTGATTATTCAAAGGACTAATGTAACGAGAGTTTTATTACAAAAGCAAGACCACAGAGAACAACAGTAAACAAGAACCTGATTTATCTTCATCAGTGATGTAATTAAAATGTCACTTCACATCCTGGGGAAGTACCGCAACTGAATACAAACTTCCTAGTTCTAAGTGCATCCTCAGCATCTAATTGTCTTTGTCTGTTTCGTTCATTAATATTAATCCCTGCTGGTTTATTTGAGATCAAGTAGGTTAAAACAAGAATGATTTATTTAGATTACACATAATATCCTGGAAATCCAAGTACGTTTGTTATTACAATGTGGGGATTTGTGTAATGTCTAATCACTTATAAAGACGGTAAACAGAAAAAAAAAATATGCATTGGTACACGTGCGTGGACATACACACCCTCTTATACACATTATTTGAATATACTATATATTTGCTGTAAACTTTTTCCATTACACTTAAAGTGGATGTTAAAAAGCTTAATTTCACACAATAAATAACAATTTAAATGCAAATTAAATGCCAGTGTTCTAACTTTTTCAGTGAAGTTCAAAGTCAGAAATTGCAAATTCCATTTAATTGTCTGGTGGAATAAATGTCACACGACAGAGTAGCTGAAACTCTCCGGGCAGCATATGGACTTGAGGTTCAGTAACTACTCTGACAACGTATTAAATCTGCCATTTCTTCTCTTTTTCTGTTTCTGAAAAAATAAACACGATTAAAAACAAATGATTTACAGTCATTTCTAAAGCATGATATTGCAGCTTAAATTAAATTAATCTTATGGATGCGGTTTTTTTGGCGTCAGTGTTCTCTGTCTGGCTTCTTGCACAAATAACTGCAATTAATCTTGTTGCCTAAATCTTTACTGAGCTTTTGTTCTGCTGTGTTGTACACATTTCAGATCAGAACGGAGGGAATGTGGCAAACGGCACAAGAAATAATTATCGGATTTGAAAATGACCTGAATTAGGTGTGACTTGTGACCACTGACCTGGAACTGGACTGAGGGAGAAAATAGGACAGGGTGATGTGGACGGCCAAATTACTTGTGACAGGTTTTAGTGTATCTGCTACGCTTTTGCAGCCTTTGTATCTTTAATCTACATATTCACATGCATTGTCTGCACTTGTATAAATAGAGGGGGTTTCTTCAGCATGTATGTCCATATATATTTTATTGTACTGCCGTGAACATTGGCCAAACATCTACATGTCATCTGAAGTTGCTATTTAAACTGAAAGTTTGAGGTTGAGAGAGAAAACCTGCTTAGTGTGCTAAATGGAACGTATAATAGCTTTCACAGAGGAATAATGGAATAATAAAATGAGGAAATTGATTGGCCACGTTTTATCTACATAAGGCGTGATTCTTTCTGTACATCTGGGGAAAGTCTATTCATATTTTAAGGAAAAAAAAAATGATTAGAATAAAAATACAAAAGGACGTAGGCAATCTTACCTTGCCCTACCTTTGCCATTTTGCTGCAAAAAATTCCACGGAGAAACAGTAATGGCTTGGCTGAGTGTGACGCCCAGTGATAGTAGAAAATGTACTGAGCAAACAGAAGACCTAAGAAGACCTCCTTCTTGTTTTTAATGGTGTAGTTTGATATTTAGATTGTCTTTAGTTTCATTATTGACACCTTTTAATTTGGATTGATTCCTAAATCAGATCTTAACAAAGCCATCCACGTCCTTGTGAGCATTAGAGACTATTTCATGAGAATGTTAATATGTTAAATGATCATTACCATTTTCCTAATGGAGTCTGACAACATCCGTCCTCTCAGATTGTCGCATGCTCAAAACAATTTATTGGCGTTCAGCACCGCAGATGAGCTCATCGTTGGCAACGTTTGTTTTTCCATAATGAGTATCTGAGTACAACAACAATTAGAAACAAAAGCTGCTACTGTGGTTTTGCTGTTATCTACTTATTACTAACATTTACATCTTGCTCTGATCTGATTTATACTCCCATACATATGTTACATGTATATTAAATATGATATGTCCTATAATATCAAAAGTCACATTCTAACTTTACGTTGGATTTAAAAGAAAGCAGACATCTCAGTGAGTAATTGTTTATTCAATGAAATACAATCTTTCTGATGTGGTTTTATTTCTGTTTTGAGTCTTACTTATTACCAGATGTCTTGGCCTAACATCTTTTCCTGTTCCTGGTATTGATAAAGCAAAACTCATTTGATGACTGCAGAGGCCTCTGTGGTATGCAGGGTGAAGTTGTTTTTGAAAGATTGTAGGAGCTGCACAAAACTATATGTAACCTTGAGGGGGGGAAAAAAAAAAAAGTTTATTTCTTTTAAATTGAATTCACCATATCACTGCCAGTGCCCCCAAAATATTATAAATGCGCAATCCCAGCGGTGGCGGCACGAGGAGTCAAAACACCGTGGATGCCACTGAGATTTGATGGAACGGTATTCGAGCTGTAAGGTTAAGTGGA